CTAGTATTTAAAAGTGCAGACAGCTCTCAAATATTCACATCTAATAAAGAAAAATGATACATATTCAAATAATAGAAGATTATCATATATTTTACCCATTAGTGTGAATAACTTAGTGTAAGACTCTTAAGAAATGGATGAGGAGGGTAAAACTTGGTCAAATGGATGTGCGGTCCTGTATCTGAGAACAAAGGGTGATAGGGTTCCTGGAAGTCAGGGAACAATTAGTGTGTATGTATATGTGCATGCCTGTGTTAGGAGGATTAAGACACCATGGTTTGACCCCGAATAGCCAAGCTCTCCTGGAAAAAAAAAAAAGAAGGGAATGGAGGCATCACACTCCCAGACTTCAAACTATACTACAAAGCCATAATCATCAAAACTGCATGGTATTGGAACAAGAACAGACACACAGACTAATGGAATTGAATAGAAAATCCAGAAATAAACCCACAGATTTATGGTCAACTAATCTTTGACAAAGGAGCAAAGAATGTGCACTGGAGCAAAGAAAGTTTTTTCAATAAATGGTGCTGGGAAAACTGGGTAGCTACATGCAAAAGAATGAAGCTTGACCACTACCTCACACCATGCACAAAAACCAACTCAAAATGGATTAAAGAACTAGACATAAGACCTGAAACCATAAAATACATAGAAGAAAATATAGGTGAAACACTACATGACATGCACCTCAAAGACATATTTACAGACCCATCACCCAAAGCAGTGATAGTGAAGGCAAAGATAAACAGCTGGGACTACATCAAATTAAAGAGCTTCTGCACAGCAAAAGAGACAATAACCAAAACAAAGAGAAACCCCTCCGACTGGGAGAACATTTTTGCACACAACACTAATGATAAAGGACTGATCACAAAAATCTAAAAAGAGCTGATGAGACTCAGCAACAACAAAGAAAATAATCCAGTCAAAAAATGGGCAGAAGAGGAAATGCAAATGGCCAACAGGCATATGAAAAAAATGTTCAACATCACTTGTAATCAGGGAAATGCAAATCAAAACTACAATGAGATACCATCTCACACCAGTGAGAATGGCACATATTAAAAAAAACTAGCAACAACAAATGTTGGTGAGGTTGTGGAGAAAAAGGAGCTCTCCTGCACTCTTGGTGGGAGTGCAAACTGGTCCAACCACTATGGAGAGCTGTGTGGAGATTTCTTGACCTACTAAACATAGAGCTTCCATATGATCCAGCAATTCCACTCCTAGGGACCTACCCAAAGGACACAAAAACATCAATTCCAAAGAGCACCTGCACCCCTATATTTATAGCAGCACTATTTACAATAGCTAAGCTTTGGAAACAACCCAAATGCCCAAAAATAGATGACTGGATCAAGAAGATGTGGTGCATATACACCATGGAATATTACTCAGCATTCAAAAAAGATAAACATATGCAATTTGCAGCAACATGGATGGAGCTGGAAGCGATCATGCTCAACGAAATAAGCCAGAAAGAAAAAGAAAAATACCGGATGGTCTCACTCATAGCAGGAATCTAGAAAACCTAAATAAGGGACCAGGAAAAAGAATAACTATATGAAAGAAAATATCAAAATCAACAAACAACTATGAACCAGAGACACTCTATAGGGGCTGTGGGGTGGGGAAAGGAGGGCTTAGGGTCAAAATAAGGGGGTTGTAATTGTAAGGGGAATATAAAAATAAAATTTAAATAAAAAAGGAAAAAAAAGAAATGTGAATAGATAGAGTTATATGGATTGAAAGAAATTAAAGTTATTTTCTCCTTGGGAAAAAAAAAAACATATATAGATGTTTGGTTGATAATAAACAATGTAGTTAAAACAGATATGTATACTCAGGTGACAATGCTAATTGGAATCTAAATGAAAACTAATGAACAACAACTACAACAAAAGCCTCATGAATAAAATTTACCCTGGAAACTTAATGACTTTTAAACCCAGAAGTGTGTAATTTGAAGTGATCCAAAACTCAAAGTGTGATTTTAAACTTTTGGAAGTACGTTCATTTGTGAAGATGGTATATTCAATGCAGCAACCTCCCTCAGGCAAAACTTACTCTTTTCTCATGTGAGGAACCAGTGTACACTATAGACAGTGTCGGATTGTTAGCTACATTTTCCAAAGGATAAGACAAGAGTTACTCTCTGATATAAGCAAAATTAGGAATAGAATGCTCTTTAATTCAGGATGATGTTTTGGGGTGTCAAACTGGAGAGCACAGAGTCTTCCAAAAATTTAGCTTGTCAATATAAAGAAAACATGTTGATGCCTCCTCTGTAGAAGTATTAGCCACTTGCTGTTTTTGTCTAGTAATAAACTGGGAGATCTTTACCTCAGATTAAAAAAAAATTCTAAAATGATTTACAATTCATAGCTGGGTTTTTTAAAATACTATAAACAATACAAAAAATACAACCTCAATTTAAAATACACAGCTGGTTTTGCACCCCATATTTTGGTGTCTTTACCCTGGGTACTGTTGAATATTTTTATATGTAAGCATTTATGAAGTGCTAAATAAATATGTTATTATTTAGGAAAAAAAAGACACCATGGTTTGAAATTTCACTGGTAGTTTGACGTCAAATGGAATAGAACTCTGTTACCTAGCAATTTTCCTCACTGTATTAATTCTTAGGTATGCTCATTAATCCTCTATTTGGATTCTTTTGCAGGTATATATTTTTAATTAATTAATTAATTGATTAATTTATTTATTTTTAAGATTTATTTATTTATTTATACAAGCACTGGGTACAGTCAGAAGCGCGGGAGGGTGAGAGAATTCACTAGAGCCAGAGCAGGAAGCAGAGCAGGCAGAAGGACCGAAGTACACTGTTGAGGGGAGCAGCGGGAGACAGGAGAGGTCTGTGCGCCATGTGGGACTCTCCTTTGGTGGCCGGGGAGCAGCCGGGGATCGAACCGGTGCTGCAGAGGCTGCGGGCAGCTTCGCAACCCAGTGCTGGACCGCTGCGCCACCGGGGAGGCCCTGCAGGTATATTAAGTACAGGATAAATAAAATCATTTGCAAGTAAAGAACATCATTCATCACTTTAGAATTTGGAGAAAGGGTTAGAAGAACAGGCACTGTTAGTGTTACTACTATGGGAAATTGCATGTCCAAGAAGTAACTTCTGGTTTTCCCTCAATTCCTATAAACTTTTATCTCCACTGTCCTCAAATATATCATTTTAATTCTCAACTAATACCACAATTGTTCTTGACTCTTAATTTATTTTTATCTTTTACTCAATTAGACAGTTATTCCTTCTAGTGTTATTTCATCAACTGTAAGAGATTTTTTTTCTCTTTTTTGTCTCACTTTTTTTTCTTGCTTACCTTTGAGACTTCTTCTATTACTTACTATGTCATATAGTTTTGATTGCTCACTTTTTATATTGGTGACTTTATTCCTTTCCAATGTTTTCCTCTATTGTAAGCATAGGAGATTTTGATTTACAATGGTCATAGAAGCAAATTTGTTTAATGTATTTAAGTAATTGGTAACATTTATTTTATTCTACCTCGATTATAAATTAAAGTGAGAGATTATGACACTGTTTAAATAAAATAGTTCTTATCTTGAGAACATTATCATTTTAGAATCCTTTTGTTCAGAGAATTGCCAATGACATATTTGTTGTCTTTTCCAGTAAGAAATAAGACAGGACAGAAAAGGAACTAAAGGGCATGGGGGACAATAACAAATACCAGACTATATTTTTGAAGTAAATAAAGAAAAAGTAGCTTATGTCAGGGGAAACAATAGTAAGAGTTCACTGATTTGTAGATTCAACTCTCCAACTCAGAAAAAATTAATGGAAAGAATTTATTGATCAAGCTACTGAACCACTGTCAGTAATTTTGAGCAAATAATGAAAATCTTTAAAGATTTCCAAAGACTGGAATTGCATTCTCTAAATTATCAACAGATAGATTTAACCTTAATTCTTGGGAAAAAAGTGCAAGAACAGAATGTTGTGGATAATTTATGCATACTTGGAAGAAATCTATTTGACGACAAAGGTCTTTTGGTAACAAATCATATAAAAAATTCTCATTTCCTTTTTTTTCTTTTTGGAAAGAAGAAATAAAACCATATTTCTTTATAGAGAGACATGATTATCAATGTAAAAAATCAAAAACTTTTGAGAAAAAATTCCTGAAACTAATAAACAATTACTGTATATGTGCAATGCAATGTTGCAGGACACATGAATAATACACAAAAGCCAATTGTTTTCTTATATACCTGCAGAGAATAATTGGAATTTGAAGTTAGAAATTCAATATTATATATATTAACACCAAAAAACAAATGAAATACTTAGGCATTCATCTCACAAAGTATGCATGCTGTTGCTATGCAAAAAACTATAAAACTCAAATGAAAGAAATGAAGAAAAATCTAAAATAAACATATGGAGATATATTTTATGTTCATGGATAGGTAAAATCAACACTGCTAAGGCCAAAGCACAATCCAGGAAAGGAATAATTAATGTCAGACTTTACTGAAATTGAAAACATCTACCCTCTGAAAGACTAGACAAGAGAATGAAATACAAGCCATGAATTGAGATAAAATTTTTGAAAACCATATATTTGTTAAAGTACTGGTATCCAAAATGTGCAAAGAACTCATAAAATTCAGCAATTACAAATGAAACAACCCTATCATAAAATGGCAAATCATCTGAACAGATTCCTCACCAAAGAGGCCACACAGGTGGCAAATACAACAAAAAATATATAAAAGATCAGTTTCTGGTTTATTCTATGTTTAGATGTTTTTCTCAATTTCTAGTGATCCCTGAATAACCTTTCAACTTTGAGAAGAAGGTGACTTGAAAAAGCTAATTGATGTTCCACATTCATGACTAGGACTGATTGCCTAGGAAACACAGACCAGGTTACCAAGCGATCTTAGAACCCAGTAGAGAAAAAAGAATGGAGACCTTGTTTTTCATCATATAGACATCCACTTATTTCATCACTCAGTAAGTCACCCTCTCCATCCGAGCCTGTCTTCCCTTAGTATGAGCTCCTTTGTTTCAACTTCTCCAAATAATAAAACACGTGGATCCTTTTGGAGTGAAGAGTGGAGAATAATTTCCTGGCCATGAGGAGTGGCATTGAAATCCAGGGCTGTGCCAAATTCTTATACAGACCAATCTTTTTAGTTTTAGCAACTGTCCACTTCCTTGTCTCATACACCCACCAACTACATGTGAAGATTTAGATTTTACAGGCTTTTCTCAATTTCATGGCATAAATGGATTTGTGTGTATACTTTTTATAATTGAATTGATTGATTGTTTAACTTACAATATTGTATATGATTGAGGGGGACAGATTCACACTTCCTTAGATGTATGTCACTATGGCCACTACCAAAGCACACGTAGTCCTACACCTTTGACCGTTGGGTCCCCTCTCCCCTTCCAGCCCTTCTCCACTTTCCCTTTTGTAGCCTCAATTCTGCAGTTATATTTGTAGAGGTTTTTTTGGTTTAGTTTTGTTTCTCTATGTTCTACATGTGAATGAAATCATCTGATATTTGTCTTTCTCCTCACACAATGTAATCCCTTTAGTTATATACATGTTGAAAATGCTGGGAGTTAATTTATGTAGCTCAGTAATATTTCATCATGTATATGTACTACATGTGCTTAATCTATTCCTCTGTTGTTGGGCACTTAAGTTGCTTTCATAACTTCACTATTGTAAATAGTACTGTCAGAGGAACCCATGAAATCAGCATGGGACTGAAAATAGGCTGAAAATGGACCAATTTGATAGGAGGGCCTATGTGTAACATAAAGTCTGAGCTTGCACTGGTGCCAAAGGGACTCCTGGTGTTCAGTATTGAAGCCTCAGAATAGTTCAGGTTGGACACACAGGTACAGTTTCAGTTTTGAAACAAACCAGTGTGAGATTGAAAATGGACCCGCTTGGTATTGACTAGTTTGACTGGAATTGATGAACCCCCATTTCACTGCTCCTGGTGTTCAGTTTTGAAGCCCAACCACGGTATAGGTCAGGTTGGACACACTGGTGCAATTCAACTGGCACCAATCAAATAACTGGAATTGTAAATGTACCAATCTGATTGGAGCTCTAACAGATGCAAATCAATGAAAATGGACAAATCAGATTTGAAAGGTGGACACATTGAAGAGTTGATAAATCCAGCTCACTTCAAGCGAATGAGCCAGTCAGAATCATTCCCAAGAGATCTTCTCTCTTGGGAAGATCTTCATAGAACTGTACCATTGATCCCTGTCCTCTGGTACGATTCTTTGAAGACCTTACCTCTGACTCTGCCTTCGACATCACCTACTGAATGACACCATCAGTCCTGTGCTAGATGTCTCTAAAAGACCTGTTTGCCACTGATTTTATACCCAGCATCTCTATGCGGTATAGCACTGGTCCCTGCCTCTGACATGTTCAGCACCAACCCTTGGTGCCTGTTGCCATTGGTGCTTTGGTGTTCAGTGCTGCCCAGCCTTGCCTTCAGATTGGTTTTGCTGACTGCTGTGGTGCCACCTCTGGAGACACATTCACAGAGACCTTTACAGAGACCGTCAACCTTTGAGACTGTGATTTCTGTTTCAAACCACCACCTGACCGTTGATACTGCTTCTGGCCTTGCCTCTAGATGTATCTTCTCTCCCAACTTCTCTATCTCTCTTTTCCCTTTGTAACTAAACCATATTGTTGTTGAACCCTGAACTTGAATCATGTCCTGCAATTGCAGTTGTAAGCCTATGGGTGAGAACCCACCAACCACAACATTTTTGTCACCCCCAATTTGCACAGTTTCAGTATGGCAATGAAGACAGGAGTACATATATCCTGTTGAATTAGTGCTTCTGCATTCTTCAGTGGATACCCACCCAGAAGTGAAATAGGTGGGCCATATGGTATATCTGTTTTTAAAATTTGAAGACGCTCCACATTCTTTTCCATAAGGACTGCACTGTTCTACATTCCCACCAACACTATAGGAGGGTTTCCTTTTCTCCCCACCAAATATCTAGCATTTCTGGGTTTGTTTTTTTGATGTGTGTCATTTTCACAGGAGTGAAGTGGTATATCATTGTGGTTTGATTTGTATTTCCCTAATGATAAGTGATATTGAATATTTTTTCATGGGCCTGTTGTCCATCTGCATATTTTCTTGGGGGGGTGTTTATTCTGCTCATCTGTTTATTTTTTTTTAAAGATTTTTATTATACAAGAACTGGGGTACAGGCCAGATGCACGAGAGGGTGAGAGGATTCACCAGAGACAGAGAAGGCAGACTGATGAAATACACTGCTGAGGGGAGCAGCGGGCGTGACAGGAGAGGTCTGCTGCTCCATGTGGAACCCTCCCCGGCCGTCCGGGATCGAACCGGCGCTGCAGAGGCTGTGGACAGCTTCGCAGGGCTGCACTCAACTGCCTGCACCACCAGGGGAGGCCCTCTTCTGTTGATTTTTTATTGTGTTCCCTGACCTCCTTTTGTTGAGCTATATAAGCTCCTCACAGATCTCAGACATCAGTCCATTGGCAGATGCATGATGTGCAAATATTTTCTCCCATTAGGTAGGATGTCTTTTCACTTTAGTGATAGTTTCTTTCACTGTAAAGAAGCATTTTAGTTTGATATAGTCCCATTTGTTTATGTCCCCAAAGGCAACACTGAAGCCAATGTCATGGAGTGTTTTGCTTGTTTTCTTCTATGTATTTTATGGCTTCTAATCTTACATCCAAGTCTTTAGGTCATTTTGAATTAACTTTTCTGTGTGGTGTGAGAGTCTAGTGTCATTTTTCTTCATGTGAGTCTCCAGTTTTCTCAACACCATTTGTTGAAGAGACTTTCCTTTCTCAAATGTATACTCTTGGCTCCTTTATCATAGATTAACTATCCATATAAATGCAGGTTTATTTTTGGATTCTAAATTCTATTCTGTTGGTCTGTGTGTCTATTTTATTACAATGCCATGCATTTTGATCAGGATAGTCTTTTTTTAAAAAAGATTTATTTTATTTATACAAGAACTGGGGTGCAGGCCAGATGTGCGGGAGGGTGAGAGGATTCACCAGAGAGAGAGTGGGGAACAGAACAGGCAGACTTACGAGAGAGGAGAGGTCTGCCGTGCCATGTGGTATTCTCACCCGCCGGCCAGGTTCAAACCCGCACTGCAGAGGCTACAGACAACTTCACAGTGCTGTGTTCAACCGCCTCCGCCACCAGGGAGGCCCCTGATTAGGATAGTCTTGTACTATTGTTGCCAGTCTGGGAGTGTAATGCCTCTATTCCTCTTTCCTCTATTTTTGTCAAGATTGCTTTGGCTATTCAGGGTCATTTGTGGTTCCATATAAATTTCAGAAGAGTTTGCTCTATTTCTTTGAAAAATTCCAAAGAAACTTTCCTATGTATTGCTCATTTCCTTTATTGATGAGGTGTAATATAGGTTAAAAATTAGAATTTCACAGATATAGTATATCTTATTCCGAACAAGTTATTGACAAAGTGTCTCATAATGACCCGTATTCAAAAAGATGCGAAAATCAAAGCTGAATAAATAGTTAGGTGGATTGAGCAACTAAACCCATACATTGGTGGATTGTGTTATTCTTGAGATAATTAATTGTATTTTGTGTTATAGAACTCTGTTCATGATTGGATTCTCTTTAGTACTTCAATTATTATTTGGGTAAATATGTGGGCAATTTTGCATGAATGTAAAAGAAGCAAAATTTGTAAGGGTAGTTAACATTCTGAATGACAAACTCACTACTATAAAAGATGTTTAAGGTTTATTTATATCAAAATAAAATGTTATAAAAGTGATAGAAAAGTGCACTCATGTAGAAAAAAAAGAAAGGAAAATATTATGAAACAGCTAAGAAGAAATTTAATAGGTACACATGTAAAGTTATGTACTTATTTTAGAAAATCAGAACACTGAGTGAGAAACTTGGAAACAATTTCTATAGAAAAGTTCTAAAATTTTACTGACCATACACATCTTTTGAACAACGAAATAAAACAAAATAAAAATACCAAAACAATCTTAGTTGTCACTGAGGAGAACCCATCATACAAATCTGTATTATCATGGTAATGATAAAAATTCCTTACTCATAAGGCTTTTGCAAATATTTAAATGATAAAATCCATGTAAAACAGTTAACACTAGCTATTATTCAATATATTACTTATTAATCTTGACAAGAAATATTGTCCCAATTTGTGTGTCAAACCACTTCTTGGAAAGTATGGCTATGTGGCTATGTGAAAGAGGATTAGAAAGATAGAAATATTGTAATAAATATGAAAACTTGGAGTGAGAAAGATGAGATGATGGTTGTGTTCCAAAATGTTACGGGTTACTAATGAATAATTAGATTTACTCTTCATAACTCTGAGCATTACCCACAAGAGAAAAGCAAAACAAGAGGAAGCCTGAAGGAGACTCTTTTAGTTGTATTAGGACAAACTTTCTAATAATCAGAGCTATTAAAAGTTGGAATGAATTACTTGTGTGGTGGTAAGTTTTATATCACTTGAGGTATTCAGACAGAGACTGGATGATGACCAGCTGGAAACACTGTAGAAGGAATTCTTGCATATGGTGTATCTACATTTGTTCATCTATTAAATCCATCAAAGGACAAATAGTGAAGGAGTTCCTACTATGTTATAGTACTCTGATAGGTTCTTGTGGTGATCTAAGCTTCTTTTAAGTCAATGATTACATGATTTTGAAGAAACAGGATATCTTAAGTTTTCACAGAGGGACACTTCATGTAGGGTCTGTTTTTGTTATAACTACCTCTGTTTTCCATCTCCAACAGCCCCTAACATCACTTAACGCCAGAGTAAATACCTGCCAAACTATTCTGTGGTCTGAACTAGACACCAATGCCCCACAAATCACATCATGTTGAAGGCTTAGCCACTTTAGCAGTGTGACTATTTGTTTCCAATCCAGTTGACCCAAAGGGGTCATACCTACTTTCCAGTTGAGGTTTTGCTGCTGCTGTGTGATGCTTCATGTATAAATGACATTTTATTTTCAATGTAAACATTTTTAGAAATTTTGTGAGATTTCTAGTGTAACAAATGTACCAGAATAGCTATGCCTAGCCTGCTGGGTGGAATCTTTTTTTCTGAAACAATGTTAGAACAAAGAAGTTCACTCTCTGTAAAGGGAGAACTAGCTAGGAAATCATATAAACAATATGCACACTCTGTTTCAGATGAGGTACTCTCCCTGCTGCTATCAGCAACACTTGCTGCCAAATCCACTAACTGTTTCAGCCTGACCTTCAGTGAATAAACCATATAATCTTCCATTCCACATTTAACAAGCCTCTGGTAGTTAAAAAAAGCATGCCTCTTTCATAATGATATAAAAAAAAAAATGACTAGAACAGCAAAGTACTTGAATTAACAAGTCACTTGTCCAAGATGTCCTAGCCAACATAACAAACAACAGTAACAAAATAAACCCCCTCAAAGCCCCAAATACACAAGAGAGAACAAGACATTGGGTGATCTGTAAAACCATCTTACAATCAACTACAAAATGTCTTAGTAGCAACTGAATAGAACAGAGCTGAGAAGACTAACAAAATTAGTCAGTGAAATGGAAGGGTAAGACACAGTTGGACACACTTTTTATTGCCAAGAAGAAGGGAGACTTGAGAACAGTTAAAATGTTGCTGCATACTCTTTTTGAGAAGGAGACAAGTAATAAATTTAACAAGAATTTAATGTGTAAAATATTTAAAAAAATATATAAAATACTGTCAACAACTCACACCTTCCCTTACCACCACATCCCAAGACTCTTTTCTATGCAGCACAAACACATAAGTAAAATAATAGCAATTCTTATTTTTCTCTACTTGCCTGGAATAAGTTATCCCTCACCATAGCTGATGACTACTTGTAAGACTATTGTAATATTTTTTTTAAACTGTGCATACAGAAGATTTTTAGTTTGACATAGTCCTAGTTGTTTATTTTATCCTTTGCTTTCCTTGCTGCTGGAGATGAGTCCCCAAAAGCAACACTGAAACCAGTGTTATGGAGTGTCTTGACTGTTTCCTTCTATGTATCTTATGGTTTCAGTTCTTATATCCAAGTCTTTTATCTATTTTGAGTTGATTTTCATGTATGAGATTGTAGTCTAGTTTCATTCTTTTGCACATAGCAGTCCAATTTCCCCAGCACCATTTATTTAAGAGGCTTTCCTTGTTTCAAATACATACTTCGCCTGTTTTCATATATTAGTGGCCAAAAAAAAATATGTGGTTTATTTCTGGGCTCTCAATTCTATCCCATCAGTCTGTATGTCTGTTTTTGTGTTGTACATGCAGTTTGAATTATTAAGGCTTTACAGTATAGTTTGAGGTCCAGAAGTGTGATCTCTTCATTTTCCCCATTTTTTTGTCATTTCATATGAATTTCAGTAATCTTTGCTCTATTTCTTTTTTTTAAGATTTATTTATTTATACAAGAACCGGGGTACAGACCAGATGTGCGGGAGTGTGAGAGGATTCACCAGACACAGAGCAGGGAACAGAACAGGCAGACTGGCGAAATATACTGCTGAGGGGAGCAGCAGGCGTGACAGAAGAGATCTGCCGCGCCATGTGGGATTCTCGCCAGCCAGCCAGGATCGAACCCGTGCTGCAGAGGCTGCGGACAGCCTCACAGTGCGGCTCTTAACCACCTGAGCCACCAGGGAGGCCCCAATCTTTGTTCTATTTCTTTGAAGAATGCCAGTGGGATTTTTATTGGGATTGCATTGCAGTGGGAAAACTATGGTGACTGCACCTGCAGGGAGAAATCCTATATTGTGAAAAAATAAATAAGGATATTTTAAAAAACAAGTAAATAAAAATTATAAATATTTAAAATGTGTATACATTCATATCCATTCAGCAACATCTGTAATGTCAACATTTCTAGAAGAAGAGACACTGTGTAAAAGTCATTAGTTTAGAAGTATTTCAATAACTCAAGAAATCAAATTTCTAGTATGAAAGAAAATTAGGTAGCTTAACACCATCCCTCATTTTGTCCTTTGTATGAAGAACCCAGTGATGCCATCATTATGTTTCAGGAGGACTATTAGGATGATATAATAAAGCCATCTTTGGTGATGTTAAAAGAGTGCCAAGCTGGGGAACAGTTCACTGTGGGTTCTCACCCATGTGTGCATAATTGCAATACATTCAGTTAGGAGTGTTTTGACTATTCAGGTTTTTTTGTCATTCCATATGAATGCTCAGGGTGTAGCAACAACTGGGTTTATTAACAAAGAGGCTATTGGGGAAAAAGAAAGTGTTTCTAAGGCTACAAATGATCAGCTATCCTATGCCAGATATTGTCAATAGTGTCCAGTAGTTCAAAACAAAAACTTCTTGTGCCAAGATGGCACTGTCCCTTTGATGAGAATCTGGAGCTGGCAGAACACCAGTAAGCAGTACACCAGGATCCAGCTCATGGTGGCAGCCACAGGTGATCACAGGTGGGGTTACTAAGGGGATACAACAGCAGCCAACAGCAATAGTCTGAAGGTTGGGCTGGACAGCACTGGATGCCAGACTGGATGTTGCCAAATCAAAAGCACCAGGAGGCAATACTGGAGCATTAGAAGCAGAGTCTACCTCTCAGAGGTGGCTGGATCATGCTGGTCAGTACTAGTCAGCAGGGCTGGTCAGCACTAGTCACTGGGAGGTTGTGCCAGTGTTACAGCACCAGTGTTACAGCATTTTGTGAGTTGTTGGCATATGCCAAAAACAAGCAGCTCCTTTAGAGATGCCAGTTACAAGCCAGCAGTGCTCTTTGCAGCTGGTGCCAGAGGCAGGGCTGGAGTCAGGTGCAACAGCCCAATCTCTGTGAAGGTATACAGAGTTCTGGAAGTCTGCAGAGGTTTCAAAGTCTCAATGAATCTATCTTCAAAGGGTCTGTAGGCATCTTCTCAATGCTTTTCTGAAGCCATCAATTCAAGCTGCCTTTTTCCCTCTTCAGGGTCCCTGCCTTTCAAGCCTGGCTGGACTATTTCCAATCCCTGCTATTTGATTGGTGCTGGACACAAGTAAGATTACTCTACTTTTAAGTTTCAATTGTATCAAAAATGAATGGCATGGGATATGAATTTAAAGGTGATTTGTCCATTGAGAGCTCAAACCTGATCGGTCTCTTTCCAATCCTGGTACCACATTCAAAAGTGAAACCCTGGCTGCCTATCCAGACCCTACCTACACTGAGGTCAGGGCAGGCGGTAAGTTCAGGGGACCTGCCACAGAAGCCAGCTTCAGCAGAGCAATATGCTTGCTTCACCCAGCATGCTTCAGCAGGGCCAGGTGTAGTAATGCAGGGTGCTCCATAATAGAGCTGAGAGAGTGGTTTGCTTGGCTAGATCACAGGCTGCCACTCAGAACATGCCACGGTGACCCTGCACACAGCCCTTGGGCCTCTCTCCCAGAGCCTGGGCTAGCTCACTCTGGGGTGGGGCAAGGAAACCACCTCCGCCTCCACCATTAGGGTTCACCAGCCTGTTCTGAGGGTGCTGCTCACAGATGGAGCCCTGAGCTGGCAGTGTCCCAGGCAAGCCGCCATGCCCCACAGCTTGTTCAGGGACTGTGAAGGCCCTGTTTTAGAGTGGCACAACTGAAATAACTTTGCCTCCTTTAGTGACTGGCAAACAAACAAGGAAGTATAATAAGTCACGGCTTCATGGCCAAAAGAGATAAGAAATGTTAATGGGCAAAAGATTATAAAATTGTACATGGTATGATGATCAGTCTCCTGTGTCTCCATCCATAGAGACTGCAGTAATAGATTATGAATTTTGAAAAGTTGTCATAAAGTTTTTTAATTGAGTCTTGATTTAAAGCATCAAAGAATATGATAATACTCATTAAAATGGTTAATTCTAGTCATTTAAAGAATTAAAAGCATCCTCAAAAATTTTTTTGAATAGTTAAAATACTTGAACAAATTGCAAAAATACAAGTAGATAATGAATATCAGGGAAAAAAATTCATTCCACTAGAAACTGGGGTGAAAATTAAACCAAAAACACAATATTGCTTTTTAGCTATCAAGTGAATAAAACTGAAAAAGAATGACAATACCTTGTATTGGTGTTAGTGTAGTTAAATGGACACTCTACAATATTGTTGAGATAAGCACTATCTGGACAGAAAACTGAAAGTGAACATACCAACATATTAAGTGGTTTCTCTAGATAGTGGAATCATAAGTGATTCTCTTTTCTTCTTTATATTTTCTGTATTTCCCAAATGTGCTATAGTAAACATATTTTATAATTTCACAAAATATGCTATTAGCAAAAAGCTATTTTTAAAAAACTATTTTTTTAGAAAAGTATCTTTTAAATTTAAGTCTATATTGTAACCTTTTCCCCCATGTTCTATGAATGCAAAAGTTTGGGTATTTACTCTATTCCTTTATGTATTCTGTCTCATATTCCCAACTAGATTGCAAATTTCCTGAGTGTAGGGATTTTATCTCTGTATCATTCATATCATTCATATGGACAATCAATACATGTTAATCATATTTAAAAAAAACACATTTATCTTCTTTTCGATGGAGGTAATATTGATTTACATTGTTGTTTGTGTTTTAGAAGCATGGGATTTATCCCCTCAAGTATTGTTTTTAAAATTATGTTTATTGACATAACATTGGTTTAGAATGCTATGTATATTTTAGGGGTACAGGTTGACACCTCTACAAATGTATGCTATTACATCATGCTCACCACTAAAGCATCAATAATCCTCCATCATTGCCAGAGTCCAGCTCTGGTGAACAGGGTTGAGAGAGGTGTCCAAAAGAAGCAAGGAATAAAGAAATGACAGACACAAAATAGAGATTAAGAGAAGTGGGGCCCAGGGGACACAAGGCTTCTCAGTCCGAGCTCAAGGGTCCCGAGTTCCCAGTGCAACTCATTTATATTGATACAAACTGGCCCCCTCCCCTCCTTGTTACTTACTAGACAATGAACCATTCTTTTAGTATTCATCCTTGTCTGGGCACACATTCATGGTCAAGGCTCTGCGTTATCAGGTATACTCTACTCCCTTTCTAATCTTGCCTGTTTCTCAGGCTTAGCTTTGCTGATGCAAGAGAGGATATCGTGGCCTTGACACAGCCACTCTTCCAGCCCATATTGACCAGTCTTCCAGTCACGACCCTGACATTCTCCTTGTCTCAGCACCTCATGCCTTAGAGGTCTCCAACACACCATAATCCATTGGGTCCCCTCCTCCTCCATTTGTTCTAACCACCCCCCCCGCCACCATACCCCTCTGGTATGCTCAGTTGTACACTCAGATCTCATGTTTGTTTGTTTTTTGTTTGTGATCTTTGCTATGCTTTATATTCCACTTGAGTGAAATCATTGGTATTTATCTTTCTCCTCCTGACTTATTTGTCTTAACATAACCCTCTCCACTTCCACCCATGTTGTCACAAATGGAAGGAATTTGTCATTTTCTTCACAGCTGAGAAGTATATATACCACATTTTCTTTATCCAGTGGAACATGTATTGTTTCCACAGCTTAGTCATTGTAAATAATGTTGTAATGAACCTAAGGGTGCACATACTCCTTTGATGTAATGCTTCTGCTCATGCCTTATAATCTGGCTCTGGCCAGTATGGGTCTAGGGTTTGCAGTTTCTTTCTTCTAACTGCCCGGGAACTTGATCAACTGTAAAGATAGTTCAAGAATGCATACATTGTGAGTAAGGTTATTGAGATAAACAATGGGTCAAAGAAATTTATGGTAGGGGCTTTCTGGACACAGCAACTCCATCTCAAGATTCCCCCTCATGCCCACTTCCTACCCTCCACCCCAGACAGTTCCTTAGACAATAGCCAGAATATAAATTAGATGAGATCATGCTCACTCTCTCCTTTGCTCAAAGTCTAATATTCCATTAGCTTCCCATTACACTTATCTATAAGTCCTTACATGATATAACCCCAAACTTTTCAACCATGCTACCTATCACTTTTCCTGTCTTCATGGTGATTCAGTTATACTGGGCTCCCCTTTGCAGTTCTCAGAGCACAGTAAGCATGTCTTATGGTCTTATAGGTCCTTTGGACACTTGGAGTTATTCCCTCTTCCTCTAATGCAAACTCCCCAACATCTGCAGGTCTCTTCATGTCTACTCCCCTTACTTCAAGTCTGTGCTCAAATTTCTCCTTAGAGAGAGTTTTCCTTAAGCATGTCAAGAACATAAGCTTCTGGGCCTCCCTGGTGGCGCAGGCAGTTGAGCACAGCACTGTGAAGCCGTCCGCAGCCTCTGCAGTGCCAGTTCGATCCCCACCGGCCTCAGAGCAACCCACATGGCGAGCAGACCTCTCCTGTCTAGCCCGCTGCTCCCCTCAGCAGTGTATTTCAGTCTGTCTGCCTGTTCCCCGCTCTGTCTCTGGTGATGAATCCTCTTACCCTCTCGCGCATCTGGCCTGTCCCCCGGCTCTTGTATAAATAAAATAAATCTTAAAAAAAAAAAGAACATAAGCTTATATCCCAATACTCTATTATTTTTCTTATGACACGTCACTGAGATATTTTATATTTATTAGTCTGATTATTCCCTCCTGTCCCACCCTCCAAATGAAATTTATGTTCTGTGGGGGTAATGATTTTATTTTTTATACTCTGCTTTATCTAATAGCACACAGAAAAATTCTTTGTACAAAGTATCACTCGACTAGCACTAGAATACTTGCTCAAGACAAAGTTCTGTTCTAAGTTCTAAAACTAAAAAGATGAATAGGTTGTCATCCTTATAAGCAGCAGCAACCACCAGACTGAGGAACCAAGAGGAGAACAGAACCTAGCACACCACCTGGAGAATGGCAGAAAAGGAAAGAAACATTGGAGTTTTAACTCTTAAGTCTTCCTTTTGCCTCATTTTCTGTCCTCAAAAATGGTATAAAATCTGACATCCTGGTTTCTAAAGAGATCTTTGCAAATATGTAAAATACTGGGCCATGCATTAGGCTGTTAACTTAGTATTCAATAATACCAACAGACAATGAAAAACAGTATGGAAAATCAGATGACAGGAGTATTTCAAAATACAGAAAATAATCACAAGAAGTGCTTATGAGTTTCTACTTTATTTAAACATCACCTTTCCTCAAGGAGTTAAAGCTGAAAAAAATATTCTTCAAACAAATGAATTATGTCTTGTACAGGATTTCTTTAATGTTACTAACAGAATCATTTAACCTCTCTGAGATCTTTGCCCCAAAGATTATACCCACATTCTTAGTGTTTTGTTTTCTTTTTTTTTATCAGCACTGATTTTCAAGGTTTAAAAAAGATGCCTAGGCCTCCCTGGTGGCACAGGGGTTAAAATCTCAGTGCTAACAAGCTGTCACCAGCCACTGCAACATGAGTTCGATCCATGCCAGGGAGATAACACACTGGGCACAGCAAACCTCTCCTGTCTTGCCCGCTGCTCCCCTCAGCAGTGTATTTCAGTAGATCCACCTGTTCTGCTCCTCCCCACTCTGTCTCAGGTGAATCTTTGCACCCCTACCACACACCTCTAGCCTATACCTCATTTCTTGTATGCACAAATAAATAAAAATAAATCTTTATTTTTTTTCAATTTATTTATTAATATATATTTTACATCAGGTGTAGTCCCGATAGAATTTCCATGCAGTTCTCCCAAGCACCATCACCTTAGTCCCTTGTGCCCTTGTTTTGATCCCTATCAATCCCCCCCCCCCCGCAGAATGTCTCTGATTTATAGCTGTCTAATTATTTTTGTTGTGTTTTTCATTGTTATTATTTTTCTCTAATCCCTTATTTGGCTCCCCTATATTCCTCCTTCCTATAAGTGAAAACATGAGATATTTTTTTCTTTTTCCTTCTGACTTATTTCACTGAGCATAATCCCTTCTAACTTAAAATCCTTGCCAACAGAATACAACAATGCATCAAAAGGATAATACATCACTATCAAGTGGGATTTATTCCAGGGGCACAGGATGGTTCAACATCTGAAAATCAATTAATGTAATCCAACAAATCAA